CTCACAGCTGATCGCCAGTGGCTAGGGTGATCAGTGCCTGGGGTGTGGGGATAGAGATACATAGTTCTTGGGATCATGTTTTTCAGAAACCTTGAGCAGAATGGGCAATTGAAGAGCATGCTTATTGCACTCACTCATAGAAACTGTCCTTCAAAGGTTGTTTCTATGCAGCAGGACCGAATATTTACCTCCCACCCACCACAGCCTAGCACACCCCTTGTTTCAACCCACCAGTCTGCAGGTCTGTTGCGTCCTTCCTCACTTTATATGCTTGCTCTCTCCTTTCCTGCAGTCAGTGCTCAGGTTGCTAATCCTAGGCTTCTGAATATGACAGACTTCTCTATTCCTTTTGCTTCCTGCTGCTTTTCCTTTTCTCTGGTTCTTCAGGCTGCTGTGACCACCACGTGCTATCTGATTCTCCTTGGGGGTACATAGTCCCATGGTTTTACTGCCAAAGAGATTTAAAGATTAGTTCATTACATTAATCTACATCATGTCCCCAGAAGACATGTGTACTAGATTGTACTGGAAGAGTATTTCTCAGAATTCCAGTGTGCACATGAAACACCTGGGGATCTTGTTGAAATGTGGTCTCAGAAGCTATGTCATAGGATGTGAGATTCTGCATTTTTAACAGGTTCCGAGGTAGTACTGATGATGCTGATTAAAGAGCAACACTTTGTATAGAAGACTAGTTTCTGATGCATTGCATATTTATTGTAAATATAATCTGCTTGATGTGAGGGACCATTCCTTAGGCATCTTTGTATACACTTGCTCATCCAGCGCTGTGCCTGGTACATGATAAATACTGAAATGTTGCTTGGATTTTGATTGAACTGAGCACAGCTGAAATACAGAATTTTCTGTGCTTTTTTTTTTAAGTAGTGGTTTTCAAACACTGCTAAACATCAGTTGAATCAATGCACATTTCTTAAGGGTCTTTTTATGCAAAGCACTAGGAGAAATAGAAACAAAAACAAATTATAGACCATTTCCTCAAGAAAAACACTGGCATGTTTACCACTAACTCTAATATGTCTTTACTAGAATTGTGGAAATAATTTTAAATTTGTAGACATGGCAGTGAAGGCAAATTAACCTGTTTCTGCTACTAGCAATTTGACCTTCTGTAATTTAGGTGTCATTTTTCCATGTGTACAATGAGGCTAATGGGATTGTTGTGATATTTATGCATGATAATGCATGTAAGGATTGAGTTTCATGCCTGGCACATAATAAATGATCCCTGCTAGGGTTTTTCATAGTGATGGTGGTAGTAAGTATAGTAGTAGTAATATTTACAATATTCTTCATTATCCAGGTAATTTAGTTTAGGAAAATACCTTTTTCCTTTCCTTCCTCTCTAAGTCCACCTATTATCCTAATGTTTAATTTCACTTTGTAAGGCTTACCTGCCATGTAATCTTAATGTTCACTACAGCAGAAGGACAGAAAGAATGTATTTTCCTACCTTGAGGCTGCTTAATCCCAAACTGTGATTTTTTTTCCTCACTTTCATGTCTTCATAAATTTATTTCTGTCCCATGTGGAGAAGACAAAGTTGGTTGAAGCAACAAATGTAGCTTTTGATTAAAGGCCATCATTTAACCAAATCTTAAGGAGATCTACCTAGGGGAGGTGGGCACCTGAGCCTGTGAATCATAGCTATTATCATTGTCTTATTGAAGAGAAGCACTTAGTTATAAAGAAGGCCCTGGGAATAAACATTTATTATTCTTCCACTACTTGGGTCCTTTTTCATTATCTATGTAACCCAGATGTCAGCTGCCTGGATGTCTTCAAGTCCTCCAGTTTGCCAAGCTCAACTTCTTTAAAATAGAATTCAAACAGACTCAAGTCACAGTCCCTTGTACAGGGAGTTCCCAGCGTCTCTCCCAATATTTTCAGCAGTTGGACGTGGAGTTTCTGTCCTGGACTCCTTTGCTTCTGAGTTTCTTCTTATGCTTATTTCACACAGAAATAAAGAAACCAAAATACCCCATGCCACAAACATAATTGTTTTTTTATTTGTTAGATAGTGCAAGCGAAAACACTTCAATAAAGATAAAGCGCTACCTAGGGGAAGTAATAATCTTACCAAATTAGAAAGTGACATAAGGCATTGTAAATGCTCCAGGCTCCCCTTGGAAGAGGAAAAACTGAAGGTAATGAAACAGTATCTGTTTATTTCATCTGGCTAAAAATAGAGAAAATGTTGAAGTCCTGACAAGATTTTGAAATAAATTAGGACAGTCTGTGGGTTATAATAAGAAAGAAAATTTGCCCATGGAAGTTTAAAAGGGAACAGCAAAAGTTAGTCATGTGATTGCAAGAACCCCACAGAACAGTCAGCACTGAAACAGAGAGAGGGGCCACCGGAGTGCTTTGAAGCTGGATGAGCTGGTAATTACAAGGAACACAGCTCTTCGCCCTTTTTTTTTAAAAGTAAATCCACATGGTCTTTGTCTCATTTGCTGGTAACTGCCAGATCTGCGCTGAAGCAGCAGCTGCGGGCAGGGTAATCAGCTGCTTCCACAGCCCTCCTGTGTGCACAACATTCAGTGTGCTCCTTGCTTACACTATGTTCAGTTTTTTCCAAGAATGTGTTCCTAGCCTTTTTTCAGAAATTCTTCCTAACATGATATTCATAGTTTCCTAACTCCCACATCACTTCCCTGTGATCTAATCCTCAAACTACTTGGATGTACTGCACGTCTTATTCCTTTGGCCTGAAGGAAATTCTGATTGATGGGGTCTTTTTTTTTCTCCCCCCTTTTGAGGTTAGTTGCCTGACACCTTGATCCCTAGGAGAGGTAGTACATGATAAGGCAGGTAGTTTTTGTTGCAGGGAGACAGGGAAGGAGTCGCAGCTAGAGAGGACTGGGCGAGGGGGAGACCCCGCAGGACTGCAGTGCCTGAGCTAGACAGGTGAGCTGGCAGGGCTGCCAGCAGGAATGGGGTCTGGGGGCCCAAGCCTCCTCGTTAATGACCCGCCCATGTTGACCTTGTGGAGGACAAACTTGGGGCCCTCTCAGCAGCCCGGTACTTATGAGAAGCCATGAGCTGTGGGGCTCTGAAGAACTGTGGTTGGGGTGGGGAGGAGGACATCGCTTCAGGGCTGGATAATTTGTCACCAGGGTGGCCGAGTGATCGTACGAGCAAGGAGAACTGCAAAGGTGATTTTTAAGAGCAACAGCACTGAAGGAATTTCCTCTTCCTGACAGCCGGTGCAGACATGCCTGGTTAGTGCCAACCTCCTGGGAGTCCACTTGGCCTGCTTTATTTTTTTACCAGGATGGTGCACCATTAGTTGCGGTTCTGTTTTCAAAGATTGCCCTCTAAATCTGAAAAAGGAAAGTTTTTAGGAAGGCACTTCAAAGAGAGAAGTGAGAACCCCACGTGGTCAGCCACTGAAAAGTTGTATGTGGTTGGAATCAAATCTACACCCTAGCGTTCTATAAAAAATGTCTGTTACTCCTAGAATACCTCAGAATAGATTCAGTAACTACCACCATTTTACATCCTAAAACTAGATGGTGATACTGTGATGACATTTTTCAAGGTAAAATAGAGCAGTGAAGCTTGTGTGAGTTTCTTCGTCAGTGTGTGCATTTGTCTAAACACCTTTAGGCCAGTCTATGGCAGCGACTCCATAATTCAGATGAAAACAATAAAAAAAATCATGTAAAGCCAATATACATAGAAATGACTAGCCAACATGACCACTTTTAGTGCAGAAATATATTCAAGATCATTCATACTTGCTTGTTTTACTTAATCATATGCCTTTTACCTAGAAGATAGGTGTACATACACATGAGTGTACAGGGAAGGATTCAGCTTTGTGCCATCCAAATTAAATCCTAAAAGCCAGTAAATTCATCATTCTGACATATATTTGCAGATGCAGAATTTGTGTTGAAATGTCTCTTGGAATGTTTCTTATTTACAACAGCAATATATTTAGCAAATCAGTTTATTAGAAATAATACCTGAGTAAGATCTTTAATAATGTCTCTTTTTAAACATAAAATTGAGGTACTGTTTTCCCAAGTTGCAAGGATGGATGTTTCCCCTGATTGTGTATGTTTTGGACTTGGAGGTTTTCTTTTAAACAGGTTATGTTTGTTTTTCCTTGAGTTTTCTTCAGAATCCATTATTTTTCACTCTGTTATAATTTAGGTTTACAAGTACTATGCATTAAAAATGGAAAAATTGAGAAAAATATTTTAAAGGAACACTTCTTACTGTTAAGATTTCTTGTAATTAGAAGTACGATAGTCTTTTAGGTTGTAGGATGTGTATCTTTTTTAAGAATACCTCAAAAGTACAGTTTTAGATATTTAGAACTTAGGTAGTTGACCTCTATTTTGACATTTTTGGTGAAAAATTTTATGTAAAGGACAAGAGGATTTTATAACTCATGAGTAAAAATTTGCAGTTACATCTCTAAAACCAATTTTTGTAGAATTTCAGTGTTACCAATATAAATAAATAATGTAACTTCACCTTCGATCTCGTTGTTCGAAATAACCTCTAGTAACATTAGATGCGATCGAGCAGTATAGCTTCCTAGTTGAAAGTTGTCATCATTTTTAAGAGAATTAATGGCTGTTCAGGAAATGTATAGCTTAGGAATGACAAGCCCTAGGAATCCTCAGATTTGCCATTAAACAATACCTCCCTCATGCATTCCCCATTGTGATCTTGGTCTCATTAGTTCAAGAAGATAGAGCTGAAAAGCAAGTATGCATTTCTCAAATTTCTTTGGTCAGAACCTTTTTGAAGTTTTCTGAGCACCTCAGGATATGCATGTTTCATGGATCCTATTTAGTGAAGCAGTGGGTTAGATTTAATCCTACAGCCCCTATTCAACCAAAACTTCAATGTGACCAGCCCAAAGTGTGCTTTTGCTAACATTGAGGCCCACAGAGTTAGTGTGAAGCAGTGATGTTTGCATTGAAGTTGTCTGAGTGATCTTGTCTCTTCCCTTTCAGGTGTTTCATCCCAAATATCTATGCAGCTCTGTTCACCGCAGCCCTTGTTCCTTTAACGTGCCTCGTGGTGGTGTTTGTGGTGTTCATCCACGCCTACCAGGTGAAGCCGCAGTGGAAAGCATACGATGATGTCTTCAGAGGAAGAACAAATGCTGCAGGTTTGGAGGAGACCTTATTTGTACTTTGGAGGTAGAAACTGTTTAATGGTGGGGAAAGTGTCACTGAAAATTTTTTTGTCTAAAAAAGGTATGAAGCTAGACTGAGCTTTCAGCTCTGTAAGTGAAGCTCTAGTCTCCAGTCTCTGCTGCTTCTTGGTACTTCCTGACATCTCCCTTTCATTAGGTCTCCATAGGTTTTATTCTTGGTTCCAGTTACAGCCTTTGGGAGTTTATTCTCAGAGTTTCCTTCAACTTACGCAGTAATAACTTATGTTCAACCTGTGAAATTTAGCCATGTGTTTCACGATCTGAGAATTCATCACAAGCAAACCTCCATAATGCTCAGGAGTGCTGTGTTTTGCATGTGGAGTTCTGATTGTGCTGACAGATGTTTAAAAACATATGTGATCAGACAGCTTCATAAGTGGCTACACATGTCTGGTTATTTAAGAGTGCAAGTCTTTCCAGCTCAAATTGGCTTTCACTGCAGCTCATTTTTTCCCTTTGAATCATACTTAGAACAGGTTTTTATGATCTGATTCTTTTTTTGTTGTTAGATTAGAGTTTCTTAGGATTTTTTTTTTTTTAACGAGGAACAATAACAACACACCTACATAGAGAAAACTCACTCTAAAACGGTGTGAGTGACTGGAATATTAGAGAGAACTTTATGAGTTGAGGAAGGGGGAATCCCTCTTGGGCCAAAGAAGAGGAGTCTCCCCTTTTCTAAGCTTTGACAAATCTAAAGCCAAATGAATGAGAGGAATTCTTTCCATTTTTAACTGCTTCTCAAAGTTTAAGCACAATACCACGCATGAAGTCCCTAGAATAGTGTGTCATATATTCCTGGGGGGCTCAATAGATATTTCCACTAACAGGATAATAGAAGGAGGCACTCTAATATAAGAAAAATCTTCTAGCACCTGAATTAGATTAGGGAAGATACAAAAAGATTTTCCTCATGGTATAAAGAGAAGGGACTTTTTTATACTATTTAGTGGGGTCATTTGTAAGAAAGCTGTATCTAGCCACCTCTTCTGTATTCTCTCTCATTTAGCATGGAATCATGGTGTAGGCAGAAATATTGTTTAAGGTTAGGATTAATCTTAAATTCTTCAAGTGGAAAACTATTTAATGTAGAAACCCTACTTTTTCATGAGGCATATAATTTTCCCAGAAGTTATGCTTTTATTCAATTTAGGATTAATTTTATTACAATGCATATTCTTAAGGGAAGAATTGTTTATTTCCCCAAATGACAAGATTTGTTTTGTTTTCTATATTATATGAAAGTGCCAGTGCTTGCTATTTCAATAATGATAACATAAGGGCCTAACATAATGAACTAATCCTTTTCATGCCTAAATAATTCCTATGTCTTTTGGATATGATCCAACATGGTTACAATAGATAAACAATACTTGATCTAAACAACATAGTCCTCAAGCATTAAACATAATTCAGAAATTCCCAGCACTGTTGTATCTCAACTAGGGAAACCTCTCTTGCAATGAAATATTAACAGAAGCATTGCTCTATTGTACCATTTTTAATACAAAAATGTTTATGCTATTTCTAATTCTGTATTCCCATGGCAATTCAATCTAATTCTCATTACCTCATACTTGGACCCCTACAGTATTTTCCTTATTGGTCACTAGTTCAAGTCTTTTTCTTCTCCATTTCATTTTCTCAGATGTCTGTATTTCAAAAATGTAAAGTGGATCGCCTCTCTGTCCAGCATTATCATGCTCTCTCTCGTTGCCAAAAAGCAAAGTCCAGTCTTTTTAGCTTACGATACAAGAGTCTCCACAATCTACCTTGGATCATCTTTCCATCCCCAAGTTAGTTACTATTTATCCTGCACTCTGACTCTTCCAGTCGATTTACTCTTTCCTAAAACTACCTGATACTGTCATCTTTATTCCCGTAAGGAATTCTCGACTTTAAACTCCTCGTCATTAATTGATAAAACCTGTGTGTTTAATAAATTATATGGGGAGTGTGGATGAGAGAGAGGTGGAAACTGCTTATCACCCCTCAATAGTTCCCCAAAGCTTTCTAACATAAACCCATAATCTAAATAAAACTCATGTGCTGGATAAACACAAATTCATTCCCCTAGACCCCCATTTCCAACAAGATACTATCCACTCTTTTATGAAAATTCTGGAAGCTCCCAATATGCTACCTCTTCTGTGAAGCCTTTGGAATTTTCTCTTTACAAAACCACACCAATAAGAATTACTCATTGTCTCATCTATGCCCTTAAAGAAAGCACTCTGTCCCAACAGCCATTATAATATTTATCTTGGAGTGGTGAGTTGTTTTGGAGTGTGTGGCTGATTTCCTTAATAAATAACAAATTCTTTTAGAGCAAGGACCATTATTCTTCATCTCTGTATCACCAGTGTCTTGCAGAGTGCTCAGCGGATAGCAGGAGCATAATTAATATTTGTTAAATAAATGAATAAAAATCATGAATGCATCATAAAATGTCACAATTAAGCTAAATATGGTATAGGAAGAGAAATCTGTTATATCATCAAAAGTAGAAATTCAAGGATTTGTCTCATTGACCTGTTTGTAGGTATCGCCCTTTGAAGGTTATTGTTATTAAAACTATTTTTTCCTTGACTTCTGTGTTTTCAAAAACTACATATCCAGCTTTGATGTCTGACTGATCTTTTATATTTTATTAGCAAACTATTATAACTCACCTCCATTTGAATATGCTCCACTTACCTTGAATTCAAAATTCTTAGAAAACAATTACTATCTAGATTACCAAAGAGCATTTGATGTTCTCTTTGAATCTTTCTGCTAAAACTCCATTGCATTGACCTGATAAACTTCTACTCGAGATGGCACTATAGCTGCATGTTTTGCCCACCACCCTGCTCTGTATACTTCACAGTTAAAGACAAGCTATAACACGAAGAAATATAAAAGGAGATTAACACCTCTCTGGATCAGAAATAGAGCAGGAAGACAAAGTGGTAAGCTGGTCTGAAGCCATGGGCCCAATATTTTCTGGGTCCACAAGCAAGTGGATGAGGGAGTATCTCAACTGCTGTGGCGGTGAACTGGAAACAAAAGGCAGGTAGAACTGGAGCAACAGCAGCTGCATGACACGAGCCTGAAAAAGAGCTGCACAGAAGCTTGGGCTTTGGATTATAGAAATCTGGGAGCTCAAGTAGAAAGCAGAAGAAGCATCTCATTAAATACCTGGGCCAAGCTCTGTTGAGTTCACAGACTGTATCTGTCATACCCATATGTCACCAGGGGGTTAGGAGGCCCAAGACATCAAACTAGTCCTTTTTGGACAGCAGGGATGAGTGAAGGCAACTTCAGAACCATTAGAAAAAGGTGGCCAGAGGGAGAGAGACAGAGAGACATGGAGAGAACAAGCAAAGAAGCAAACGCTTTCGATTCAAGATTAGTTGCAATACAAACATTCCACATATTGGAGGAAAACTAATAAAGACAGCCCTTAAAAATCAGAAATCAAAAGGACGAATTTCACCTAGAAAAACATTTTAAAATAGAATAAACTATAAAGAACTTTAAGTATGTTAGGATCCTTAATAATATAAAGCAGGAATTATCAAACTACCAGCCATTCATCTGTTTTCCTGTTTCATATAGTTATTTTTATAGCTTCATTGAGATATAATTTACATGTCATAAAGTTTTTCTGTTTCCATTGCACAGTTCAGGGGCCTTTGCTATATTTATATAGTGGTGTAACTATCACCATAATATAATTCGCGAACATTTTCATTGTCCCAAGAAGAAACCCTATTAGCAGTCACTACCCATTCTTCATTTTCCTGACCCTAGGTAACCATTAATCAACTTTTGTCTCTAGATTTATCTATTCTGGGCAGTTCATATAGTGGGATCATAGAATATGTGGTCATTTGTGTCTGACTGCTTCACTTAGTATGATACAGTATGAGAAGGAAAGTTTTCAGTGTTCGCCATATTATAGCATGTATCAGTATATAGGTTTTTTTTAATTTCCAAATAATATTCCACTGTATGGATACTCTACATTTTTTTTTATCATTCATCAGTAGATATTTGAGTTGTTTTTACCTTTTGGCTATTTTGAAGAATGCTGCTATTGACATTCATTTACAAATTTTTATGTTAACATATCTTTTCATTTCTCTTGGGTATATACCTGAGGTGGAAGTACTAGGTCATATGGTAGCTCCATGTTTAACATTGAGAGGAACTGCCAAACTATTTTCCAAAGTGGCTACAGTGATGGGTTTTTGTAAATAAAGTGTTTTGGGGAACACAGCCACACCCACTATTTTACATATGTTCTATGCCTGCTTTCACAATACATAGTTGGGTGCATGTAGTACAATAGGGACCATGTGGTCTACCTAACATATGGCTCTTTACAGAAAAATTGTATGAGTGACCCCTGATAGAAGGAAGACATACTCACTAAAATCACTTAAACATAAAAAACAGATACCAATATGAATAAATAGAATTAAAACGGACCAATTAAAAATAAAATTGTGGCAATGAAAAATATAGTAGTTGAAATTTTAAAATATTAATATTTGAGGAAAACTCTAGATGAGACACAGAGAAGAAGGGATTAATGAATTAGAATCTGAAGGTAGGATTGAGGATTCACCAAGGAAACATACATAAAAGAGAAAATACCACAGCAAAGCTAAGAGACATGAAAATAGATTGCCAAAGGAAAGAGTAGAGAGGATGGAGAAAAGCAAGACCTGAAGAGGTAATAATTGAGAATTTTCCAGAATTAAAAAAAAATAACCTAACTATACTTAAAATAGGTATCTACATGGAAAAAGAAAGCTGGGGGGAGGAAGCTGAAAATTCTGGTATATTAGCAAAATATAAAGTTCCCATGTCTGTATTTTTGAAAAACTGGATAGTGAGCAGCTTCTTCTTGCTTCTGATAGTCTGTGTTGTATGAGAAGTGGCACGAACCCCACTCAGGTGCT